GACTGAAGAAGTCACCTGGATGAGTGACGAAACGTTTCTCCCACATCTACGTCCAGATGAACAGAATCAAACCTTGGGGATCTGGTAAACAAACATAGTTTTTGTTCCTGTAGATAATAATCTCTTAACATCAACTACACCCAGGGTAAATTTCTTAAAAGTTGGAGTGTATAGTGGTGTGGGTTAAAGTTAGGGACATGGTTACATTGGTGTATGTCTTTCCTTTATTTTGTGTAACATGCATGTTTGTGTCTCATTCTTATCTGAAGAACATTTGTTCACCATGACAGGATCACATTTAATTGCAGTGGAAATATCTGTTTGCAACAAATGTGCACAAACCACACATTTCTTCTAAAACTGTCATTCTGGGGTTGTTTAATTTGATACAGTTTTGCAGCATCAGCCGAGCTGCGTACTTCTTTCAGCCATGTTTTCTTGTTGTTGTTGTTGTTGTTGTTGTTGTTGTTGTTGTTGTTGCCATTGTTGTTACCAGGGTGTGGTAGGCTATTAGCACGCCTGTTTGGAGGCTGTTCACGCTGCAGTGATCCGAGTGACGGAGCAGTTTCATTACCAGAGCGGTAGAGTCCAGACCACATAAAAACTCCCACAGACAGCTGCACAGGACAGCCGCATGTGTGTGAGAGTTTTAAGTGTTTTCCCAAATGCAACTGACCACTTACTGGAGTGGAGGGAGGGATGTCCCACAGCCTGACAGCCCACTGAGTAAACTCAGAGTGGGCAGCAGAAAGTGTGAAGTATGTTTCCATCCACCTGCTGCAGAGACCCCAGTGATGACATAATCAGGAGAAACTGTTGGCATATTTAAATGATGCACAAACGTTTGATTGGAAACAGATTTTTTGTGAACACTGATTTTCCTTCCTAAACATAGCTACAGATGCAAATACATAACACCAAGCCAACATCCAAATATTATGATTTCCTTTAGCCAACGTTGCCTTTTCACATTATTTTAGACAGTTGTCATTTATTTCTTTAAAACATGCAAGTTTTTGCTGTTATTATATTATTTGGGGGGAAGACTGCTCTAGTCACTCCTATACTGAAAAAACCTTCTTTAGATCCTAACACCTTTAACAACCTCCGTCCGATTTCCAATCTACCCTTCATTTCTAAGATACTCGAAAAAGTGGCTCATTTACACCTGGTTAATAATAACATCTACGAGAGATTTCAATCTGGTTTTCGCTCATGTCACAGTACCGAAACTGCTCTACTTAAAGTCAATAACGATCTCTTAATCGGAGCTGACTCTGGTCTTCTCACCATTCTCGTCCTTTTAGATCTGAGCTCAGCCTTCGACACCATCTCTCACTCTGTCCTTCTAAGCAGACTTTCCTCTCTCGGCATCTCTGACACACCCCTCGCCTGGTTTCAATCATATCTCCTCGACCG